CCCCCCCCCCCCGCCAGGCTGACCCCCCACCCCCATGCTCAGCCGCCGGGGCCCACTCACGGCTGCGGGGCGGGCGACAGGGACCCACAGCCCGGGGGAGGCGGCTCTGGGGCCCATTGCTCAGCTGCTGGCCGCCTGTGTCCCAGAGGCCTTTGTGAAGGACAAGCGCGAGGCGGAGGACGAGGCGTGGGCCACGTACGACGAGCACAAGGCGCTGTATGTCCTGCAGCACTGGGAGGAGATGCCAGAGTTCGGCTACAAGCTGGTCCCGGAGCACGTGGAGATTCGGTCGCTTTACAACCCGGACAACCCGGGGCTGGTGCAGGTGAGGCCACCCTGTTCATTCGCCCCAGAGGCCCTGGGGCGCTCGCCCTGCCAAGCTCTGGGGGCCGGCTGGTCACTCCCTAGGCCAGAACGCGACTGCTCCCGCTGTCTGCTCCATGGGCTCTGTCCCGGCCGGCGGACACTGTCCCCTCTGCCCAGCAGCTGGTCAGGAGCAGCAGCAAAGGTTGCGATTTTCTGTTTGTCTGGAGACGCCGTGCGGCACCGTGGGCTGGGATGGACCAGGGCGGGCCGAGCCCTCAGGAGGCATCGAGTCCAACCCCCTGCCCAAAGCAGGACCAACCCCGACTCAATCAGCCCAGCCCAGCCGAGACTTAGTGCTAGGACTGGAATCGAGTCCACCCTCCTGCCCTCGCGGCAGGACCAAGCACCGTCTAGGCCATCCCTAAAGCCCCCCACCACTTCTCTAGGGAACCCGGCCCAGTGCTTCCCACCTGCCTGGGAGTCAGAAGGGTGTACGTACTGGCCTGCTGCCTCTGCCACTCACTTCTGTGTGGCCTTGGGCAAGTCACTTCCCCTCCCAGCCTGAGGCTTGGATAAGAAGCAAGGGGCTCAAACTGCAGCAAGGGGGGTTTAGATTGGACGTTAGGAAAAGCGTCCTGCCTGCCAGGGTGGTCAAACCCTGGGATAAGTTGCCTGGGGGTGGAATGCCCGTCCCTGGAGATACTGAAGAGCAGGGCGGACAGACACTGCCAGGGATGTTCTAGACGGTGCTGGGTCCCGCCGTGAGGGCCGGGGCCTGGACTCGCTGCCTCTCGAGGGCCCTGCCAGTCGTCTGATTCTTTGCCCGTCCTGTGTCTGTCGATTGCAAGCTCTTTAGGGAAGGGATGTCCAGGCACAGTGGGACGGGAGCTTGGGTTGCAGCCTCTAGGCCAGGGGCAGGGAACCTCTTTTGGGTCAGTGAGAACCTCAATGTGAAAGTTCAGCTACCTCTGGGGCAGAGCCTGGCCGTGGCGCACAGCGCCGAGCGGGATGCAGGGGGGCCAGAAGGAACCATGGGGCTCAGTCTGACCTCCAGGCTGCTGCCCCTTGCCTCTTGCTGCCTACTCCCTGTGGCCAGCCCAGGAGCCGGTGATGGAGCGAGAGCAGCCGTCTGGAGAGAGCTGCCCCCTCTTAGAACCTGACCCACCCGGGAGGGGGGCAGGGTTAATTCCCCGCCCTGCTGTCATCCCACTGGCCCTGGGGTTGGCTAGGGAGCCCCCCCCAGCAGCCCCTCCCCTCCTGCTGCGCTGCCCC